TGGCAGATCGTTTCTCTGATGTTATTGGTTTGGACGGAACATACAAGACGAATAATGAGAACATCTATTTATATCAGGTCGTCGCCCTTGATATGAATTTAATGGAAATACCCGTTTGTATTGCATTTATAAGTCGCGAAACATCGACTTTTATTTCTCGATTCCTGTTGCTGAAGAAAGCACCCAACTATGTCATAAGAAAAGCCCTCACATAGGATCCTCAAGGCCAAAGGAAAAGAGGAAGACCAAAGAACACATTACGCCGGGAAATGGGAATAGACATGAGAGAAATGAACAAGAATTGGATGGAACTAGAAAAGAAGGCCCAGGACAGAGTGGGTTGGAGAATGCTGGTCGGCGGCCGATGCTGCATTAGGAGTAACAGGCGTGAGTAAGTAAGTAATTTGATATACCGTCAAAGTCGTTTCATTAACCCATGGTTTACGGTTCGTTCGCCGTATTTATACATGTCGTAATCAATAAATTATCATGTTGATTTCTTTTCCACATTAACAGACCATGTATTACTAAAAAACTTATGCACACACTTTGGTGATAATTTCATTATTAATTTGGTATTCAGCATTTGACTACTGACCTAATTCAGTAATAACTTTTATCAAATATTCAAACCGGTTTTCAGTTGCTTCTTCCCAAAAACTTTCTTTTAATGTGTTACACATCAGCATTCGTGGCAAGATAACTAACGACTTCAATTAAAGGTTGACATGAAATCATTTGATCGGAAAGCAAAAATTTATCTCAATACACATCCACTAACAGTAGGATTACACTTAAGTTGGTGTTTTTTTTTCTTCAAAAGTCTAAATTTCTTACAAGACTGACATTACACAAAAACATTATTCATTATCATTAAATTTCAAATGTAAAAATCTAAATTTTGACATCCAATCACAGCACTTGATGCGATTTCGATTTCAACTAATCAGATTACAAAGATGAATAGTTTACGACCAATTACAAAATTTTTTAATAAACGGCTCAATAAGAAGTTCTATAATGGAACACCTTGTGAACACAGGTCACTCAATCAAGACAGACTCTGCGTTCAAAGTTATATACAAGGTAAGTAGAAGCCTTCCTAAGACAATTAGACTGCATCTTCTTTGCATTGCCGAGGCAATAGCCATACATTGGGAAAAACCAAAATTATGTGTACAAAAGAGACTGGTACAACCTCTTCTTTTACCATGGTCTTAATGTATTAAAATTTTTTTCTCTTTCTTCATACTCTTGTTCCTTTACAGCCACCTGCTTCACCTTCCTTCTTCCCTTCAAATCTTCTACCCCCAATCGGTTTGTTTTTATTTCCACGATCATTCCGATTACATTTCATCTCTGTTTCAACATTTCATTTTATCATGCTGAGCCATCCTTATCCGATGAATACTTAAGCCATTAACTATCAAACGATTATTTACTTTCCTTGTTTAAAAAAAATTTTTTTTCTAATACCTTTGTTTATCTAACCTCACTGTCACCATGTATAACAGAAGTTTATTATCAGTATTATTATCACCCTGTAAAAATAAGTATATATATTTGTAATTGTACAGCTTTGAAAATGAATTCACCGAAAAGGGGGATGACTCTTCACTGAACTAAGCTTTCTTTCTTACTTAATAACAAAATTATTAAAGGTGACAAAATTTTTGTTCATTTTCACTTCAGTACACACTTGCAAAACAAGTACACCAATCACCGATTAATAAATTTTTTTTTCACACACTACAATTTCTAAGAAACGGGTGGTAGGGAATCTTAAATACCGTGGGCTTAATGTCAACCGATAGTCTAAGTAGGATGTATGATAAGCCCTTCGTTTCTGTTGAGAGCAGTAGGATTAAGCATTATATGGAACACTTCAGCTACTCTCATTTGTTTGTAATTGGAAAAATCTTTTCGTAGTATTTTGATATTTGAGAAATCGATTTGGTGGTCGTTGAAAATGGCGTTAACTGCTATTACCGATTTAATCTGAAGTTTATCCAGTTTTACGGGATTATTAGGAGGTTTATTTATGTACCTAATGTGTTCTTTGATTCGAGTCAAGATTTCGCGAGTTGACTGTCCAATATAAAAAGGTATCACAATCGATACAACCTAATTTGTAGACGCGGTTCTGTGTTGACATGAATGGGATTTTTCTTTTAAGAGAACTAAAGTATTTCGAAATGTGTTGATTGTTTTGTAATATACTTTAATCTTGTGTTGTTTTAATATTCTTTGGAGTTCTGTTGTGCCATGACAGTATGGTAAAATTGCAGTACTAATCCATGGTATTTCTTTTGAACAGAACACACATACACTTACACAAATATAGAAATATGTTTCATATGAATCACCTAGACCGAAATGACGTGACATTGATTTGTTCATAACTGATTTTCTTGACTGATCTCACCTAATATTCTTGTATCATTCCTTTGTACTATTTAAACTTGGATTAATTTTGACTTGGTTATTTATTTACTCTGAAGAAGTGACTTACATTGAGTTACGAAACGTCGGAAAATTTAATTTTTCTATTCATTGGGATATTTACAAATAGATTATTTTTATTTATAACAATCTACTCAATGTTCAATTTATTCGAAATGATCAAATTAAACTTTGATAATGATACCTACGTTATCATTAGTTTATTTAGATTAGTCAAATTATTTTAGTATGATGTCAATCATACTTAGAAAAGGTCATATCTAATGACAACTTGTCTATATATTTTATTTTATCTCTGAGTTGTTATTGAATTGCATTTTAACTACAAATGAAAAACACAATACAGTAAGATATTTATTGTCTACTGATAGATGTCACATAAAAGTTTAGGATAAAAGTCGATTTATTGAAACAAACTTGATGTTTGTCAACATCTAACTGTTATTATAAGCAAAACATAATTAGAAAGAGAGAGAAGGAGAGAAATGATCAACATACTAGACAATCACTAATGAATACCTTAAAATCTAACATGAATGAATATCGGCTAAAGTTGCTACACTTCAACACTAGCACATCTAGAGAAAGGATAAAAATAATAAAGGAAGAAATAAAGGGAAGGAAAAATAAATAGTATAGATTCCCTTACGAAAGTAAAGTATAAGAAATATTTGCAGCTCAAGTGAATTTTTTTTTGTATTTTTTGAGGACTCTGAGCTAGTTTGTTCAAATGAGAAGATTTCACTATCGATTACTTGATAATTAGATCATCTATCTTGGATAACTTATCGACACCAAAAGTACATGAAATCTAATTTAAAAACGGGGAATAAAGTAAAGTAGTATAGATGGCACTGTGACATTGTGACCGACTAAAGTCAAGTTACTAAGCATCACTAACCATAGATTGTAAACTTTCCGTTCCAGAACTGATAACATACACTGTTTGGAGTCTTTCTTGCGATTACGAAACATCTCCTTCATACAGGACATCAGGTCGATAGACACATTGCAATCGTTTAAGGTGATTAGTAAGCAGCCAAAATCCAGCCAAAAACATAATTTATGTGTTCAAAAGGAGACAAATACTCCCTCGCTACATCTTAAATTTTTTTTATATTTTACTCTAAACTCTTTCTTGCATTTATTACATCATCGTGTTTTATTTCAACTAACTTCCAAACTAATAATCTTATTTTATCAACTGAGCTCTACTCACTACATTCGCATCAATATTTATTCATTATGTAATCACTTGTTTCTAGCCGTTTGAACTGTTGACACAATCAATGTTGTAGGATGTTCTTTCACATAAGGAATATATATTGACAATATGCAATCTATTGAATTTATTTAAACCCTTGCTATACTATAGGAATATGTCTTCAACAGAACTTCCAACCAAACCCTCTCATGTAAGTAGTTTAAACCTATTATGTAATCATAATTTTAAATATCACAGGTTGTAAGCAGCTGACGAGAACCAACGAAATAAAAATGAATTCATGCTATTCTACTAGAATCTTTGTTCTTGCTCTTTTCAAAATGATAAAGGCAACTATGTGTATGAAATTCGTATTTTGTTTTAGTATGATCATACCTAGTGGTTTTTATTCTACTGTTATACTTCAGAATAGGGCAGTGGTGAATGTATACCACATGCGTTTGTAGTGTGGTGTCGAGTCGAGACTAACTATGAACACCGCTACCAAGAAACACGTGCCAAGTAAATCAGAAGGAGAAGGTTGAACGTAACCAAATAAATCCATAAAATCCCCGAGAAGCCAAATATCAGAAGGCAGTTAATGGACCAAGTCGAGATATATTTGCTGGCGATCTCGTGGTATCGAAAGGATACCGAGATCGTGCCAGGATACAAGCTTGGTTACAGAACGTAACCGAATTCGCGCGAAGTCACAATCAAAGTGTAAGAATCAGAATGGAAGCACAATATATCTGTCATTAGCACAGTCAAACAAAAGCACATTAAAACAAACACTGGTACAGTTGGTTATAATAATAATTGTTTTTATTAAACCAGTCGTGTTCTCGTGATAAATGTGAGTCACTACAAGTTAATCATCTCAATTCACTAATTCTTAAAGTCTTATTAATCGGTCCATATATTACTGAGTATCATTACTAAGGCAACTCAGGAGCAGGTTAACAGTTGTTTAAGTACAATGATTCACCAACAAAACTATTATTCGATCTTCTATTTACTCATTATTTAACCTGACCACTTTATAAAACGATCAACTTTCAGATGATTTTTTATCAATTCTTTGAAAACACAACATCATTATATGATTGATTAAAAATAGGTTACTTTTATTATAGCAACTTTCAGTATATATATATCTTATATAATGGTGTATCTATCAGCTGATTGACTAGCTTAGTTTCTCGATTCATTTAAAGATGTGCATTATATATATATATATATATGCTTGAATAAATGATAATAATATCAAGTGATAATCAAACACATACATTCTTCTTAAATCTGATTGGTTATCGTTTACTTCAAGGTCATTCACTTGATCAGTACGATTTGATTGGATATAATGAAATGAAATGAAACACAAATAAAACAAGCACATTATTTAAAATTTCACTTTTTTTAGAAAATTATTAACTGTAAATTTTAGTGAAGTATATATATGTTAGTTATTATTTATATTTCAGTAAGTCAGTTTTATAATTATGTTACAGTTAATCATATATTAATATCAGAAAGGGTTTTTTGTGGATAAGTAATTTTAATAGTTGAGATGATGAGTCAATTGAAGCTTGACCACCATGGAAAGTGTGGAAGTATGAGACAGCCGTTCCGTCTATTATGGGACTCCTAAGTAGTGCACATCCACGATCTCGTATTGCAAGATTCGGAACCAGGATCTGTCGATCCCGCACACGAACGCTTAATCTCTACACTTCTAGATCAACATATGCTCACTAGTGATTGGCTTCAAGAAGTATTTCCTGGAGTTCTGGTGAGAAGCAGTGACCAGTGGAGTTCAACCGAGTCAGTTGTGAGATGGTAACTCACTGATGACAATGGTGGATGTGTCGCTCAATTTCGTGGATCAGTTGAAGTTAGACATGAACACCGTTTGATGCCGGCCGGCTGAGTGGTCTAGAGGTTAAGCGTTCACACGCGAGACCGAAGGCTTTGGGTTTGAATCCCGTGAGCAGGATCGTGGATGCGCACTGGTGAGGATTCTCACAATAGGACGAAACGGTCATGCAGTGCTTCCAGGTTTTCCATGGTGATCTAGCTTCAACTGACTCATGATCTCAACTATGAAAATCATATATTACTTATTTACTTCCTGACGCCTGTTACCCTTCGTGAAGGAACAGGCCATTCACCAGAATCATAGATATTGTGAAAAAAATTAAATGATTATCATTGATAATTAACATATATAGTTCAAGCATCTTCATTCAGAGGGTTAAAAAATATTTCATCATTTAGGTAGGAGATTTTTTCGGGAATTTGCTTGAAGATCATCTCGATTATGAATCGATATTACCTGGAGAATTAGAGAACTTTGGAAAACTATTTGGTTCAAGATAGAGACTTTCTGATGGTATTGGCGATACCATGATTTATGGACGAACCAACCACGTATAAGATCACAGGTTTCGGATTTTGGCGCGAAATTCACTAATCTATTGGGTCAAATATAGTTTTGGCATTATAGCTGATGTCAGTTCGTGATAGAAACCCTAAATCTAATTTCTAACCTTAACCATCAACTGTAAATTCTAATTCTAATTCCTCACTCTGGTTTATAACCCTCACTTGGTCCTAGTTACTAGGTGGGTACTCTCAAGGTCAACTTGGTGTCGCTTAGAGGTTGTTCATAAATTATAGTCTCACCATAGTATTCATTTATCTACGAAGGTTGAAATTATGGAACATTGGATTATAGAACGCCTACAGAACGTCAGACTTCTTGATTGTCAACTGATTGTCTGGATGATTAATGATGAAATGAAGTTTCTGAAATCATCGGTACATGTAATAATGAGGCATCTAAATGATTTAACCTAAAATGACATCCATAGATGCTACAAATAATGAATATGGGAGGTATTTTGAAGGAATGAGGCTGGTATCGGTTGAATTTTGTAAAATAAACTTTTCATGATCACGTTTCGAGTATTTGTTGGGCAGATTTAGTATGAACTGTAGAGAAGTAATACTAATGAGTTTCTGTGTAATACATTCAGTCTATTTATTTATGAAGTACTTGTAATCTGGTTAAACTATATGTGCCAGTAGTTTTTTCAACATTTCAAATTAGAAACACGAAGTTCAGTGAAGGGATCTCTTTTCAACGAATTTATTATCAAGCTGTACAATCGTATATATATGAAAATGTTTTTTGTTAAAGTCCTAGTTCCATGAGGAACAGTGAACACGAACAACCAAGATGATGTAATAGAAAAATTATAATATTAGATTACGTAACACGAATAATAACAATAGACTTAGTAAATTAGTGATGAATTATAACGTGAATGTAATAAGATGACTAGGGCACGAGGAAGGCAGTTAAAAGTTGTATATTTGAACACCTAATTGACTGTAATCAATCTACGGATCTTTAGTTTGAATTTAAGGTTGTATGTACGATTCGTTCAAATCTACGTAAATTTCTTCGTATCCAACTACTAAAAATAGCCTATGCTCTTATCATCCATAAGTTCAAGCCAGAACTATGTGTACAAAAGAAGTACGTCCTATCGTTATTGTTACCTTGACCTTAATTATTATTACTGCATTCCCCCTTATGTCTCATATTCTCATTATTTTATTCATAAATTTCGATAATGTAATAAGAAGACGAAGATCATCAGAAATATGTAATGATATATTAGTGCAATGGACAGTATAGAAAGTATAATTATACATTTGAGATGATCTCATTTGATAGAAATAAGGCATTAATTAATAAATGATGTATCTAGCTTTCATTGTTATATTTATGAAGGATATCAGAAAAAGTATTTTAAGTTGATATATCTTCAATTATATAGCTTACATAATAAAAGGAATAACCCATAATATTTTCAGACTAACCATGTATATTCTATTCCTTTCCATCTTTTATTTATTTATTTGAACAAATAAACATTGGTACAAGGAGGCACCAAATGGATGTGCACCATATACATCATTCGATTTATGTGAGGGATAGAATACTGCTCAGATGCCCAAACCGAAGCAGGTGGTTTTCTTAGGAGGTCACACTCAGAGCCTTCGACCTAAAGGTTTGATCCACAAGGTAGCGGAGCAACGTAAGAAGATACAGTCCCATGGTGGCCGGTGACCAACATTTGGTTCATACGCTTTTTGATCCCTCAGGATCCTGGAGTCCATGTGCACCATTGGTTTGGAATCAGGGTTTTCCAACTCCTCTAGGTGGACCCTCCGTGTCTATCAACCCAGTTAAAGCGCCAGACGTTCACTTTTTGTTCTTCCAGTTTCGTAAACAACAGTAATGCCGCGAGAAGGCGGTGAGTAGGACTTCCCTATAGTGGCTGTATACGCGTGGTCATATGAGAGCATTTGGAGAGGGAGAGCTGACTCTCCCCACCCTCGACCGTACCAGGGCATTTGGGGGCCATCTTTTAACCTTTACAAATCACTTAGTAATTATAGGATTGTTGATTTTATGAATTAATTAATTATTATTATTCTTTTCATTGATAAGTTTGAGTGAATTAACAGAGTAAAATTTATAAACTATAAGAAAAATGATACATGTCTGAATTAACAAAATAAGATATTAGAATAGTTGAATTTATAAGTTGATATAAGTTAGACCACTATTGAAAACTTGAAAGGATTGGACAAATGTTTCGTCTTAATATAGAACTCTTCAGCAATGCGTATCCATAGTCCTGCTTGTGGGACTCAAACCCAGAACCTTCGGTCTAATTTACATCAATTCATGAATTCAATTATTAAAATTACTACAGTCTTCCACAAATCATCATTCTAAGAATAAGATATTATATAAATGAATAATTAAAATAAAGACGATATCCTTTCGAACTCATCGACTTGGTTTCAAACTCTTAATAGGATAACCTAATCAATTGATAGAGTTATTTTAGTATTGATTATATGAAATAATTTTGTGTTATCAACATCATATCGTTTGTTAATCTTATTTTAATAAAGAAATGTAAATATTGTTTTGACAAAAATATGCATTACTTACTATTAATCTTGCGCCTGTTACTCCTCGCGGAGGAGCATAGGCCTCTCCACTAGCATTCTCCATCCAACCCTGACCTGTGCAATCTTTTCCAGCTCTTTCCAGTTGTTATTCATCATTTTCATATCTGCTTCTATTTGTCGACGCAAATATTATTATTATTATTATTATTATTATTATTATTATTATTATTATTATTATTATTATTATTATTATTATTGTCATCATATTGTGATGTCTAATTAATTTCCCATTCTTTATTACTTGTATACCTACTTATTGTTATGACTTGTCCCCTGTGTTCTATTAATGTATACCGTAATGATACCGCCAATAAGAGAACAGCGATTTATCTATCGGATCAATGACTCATAAAACCCGTACGAACAGTTTAGAGTCCTTATCGGTCCCGCTTCCTTCTAACCCCACCTGTTAGGTCCAGAACACCGATCTCACCCTCTGCGATATGAATCATGTATTTCAAACATACTGGGTTTATATACCAACCAAACAGACCACATCGTACCATAAAATAGGAAACAACATTTGTACAAGATTTAGCCAAATATGGGAGATAGTAATTGGTAGACTGAGCATAACTGAAGAACGGTAAATCGTATAATAAAGGTGGTCTTAGTCACCCGAGAGCGTGACCGCAGTGCCCAAGGGACAACTGCTTGAGGTCGGTCACACACAACCTTGTTATGGGTAATTTTTGTGTTAGCTCCGTACTTATTGAGACCTTACCGCCGGAGACGGATACTCGTGGGATAAAGCGAGGTGTGCATTTTTAGGGTCAACCTTTTCTAACCCCACCCCTCCTTGTGGGAAGGCAGCATCGCTATCATGCTGGTTGTCTGAAGGAAACACCTTACTGCTGTCACACCTCTGTACAGTCAGCAGTACGACTTCGCCTTCGGACCTTGGGTTTGTTGCTTTTAGTCTTACCGCTCTTCAACCGACCTGTCTGACATGGTAGGACCTTGCGGAACGGTTGTTCCAGCCAGTATAGCTCGGTTGCTTCATCACGATAGGCAAGCCCGACCACCACGCCAAGGTAGCAACAACGGTCGGGCCAAACCAAAACGTGGCATCAGTGCCTGAAGTCACTAACTTCTAGTCTGAGCCATGTTGGTAGATGCAGACTACTTGGTTGGGGTCCGCGTGACTATCGTAACCAATGGTTGGAGACTCTTGGTGACATGGCTCAGAATCGATCACAATGGCGTCGGTGTATACACTCCCTGTCTTCCCTTAAACTAAAAGATTAAAATCACTTTAAATCTCTCTTTCTACTAACTAATTCTTTCTTCCTGTACTGTATCATTATATGCAATCTTTCTCTTATATATTACCACCTTTGACCTAACCACTCCTATGAATCCGCTGTTCATCTTGCTGTGCTAATGAGGTATGGCAACTTGGACCGATGCACATATGTGCCTGGT